AGGCCGAGTAGTACATAGGAAGTTCCCATGCACTACACGGGTAGGTAGTTGGACAGTAGGCACGAGTAGTCTTCAGGATTCGGCCGCAGCACTCAGGAGGAGCGCTGCAGTAGTAGTTAGYGCTAGCAGTAGTCTTYAGCGCTGGGCGCTCATAGCTGCAGGGGTAGTCTTCAGCGCAGGGCGCTAGTAGCTGGTAGTAGTAGCGTTGKAGAGAGATGGYTGGCGGAGGCCAGCGGTACTTACCTGTGGCGCCATAGCTCCAGCTCCATCTTCGAGGTACCTGCATCAAGGCGCCAACTTCACAGGTTAGTACTGGACAGAGAGAGAGAGAGAGAGAGAGTTCTTCTTCTTCCTCTTCTAAGTCCACCATCTCTTCTTCACCCTCTCACCACCTGACATCTCAGTATCAGCAGACTACGACAGAGARAGAGAGAGTTGTGACTTGAGACTTGACGACATTGGATCCAGACTCGACATTGGGATTCAGACATTTTGACGAGGGACTATTTGGGCMTGTGCCGAAGACTTGGTGTTGACRACATTTCCCAYCTTCCCCTCTTCTTCGTCTAACCCCCTTCCTCTTCGTCTGTGTATGGTTGGGGCTGGTGCAGTCTTCCTGTGTGGGCGCCAGACCCCTWTCACACCATGGAATGATGATGATGATGTATCTTCAGGGCTGCATTGCAATATTGATTGTTCGGATCATTGGTATCTAAGTCTTCCGCTACGCTATCTTGTACTTTGTATCGAGAGGTCGGTTCTTGTTCTGGTCTGCACCGTTACAGTATGCAACACCCACACCCTGCTCCGTAATAGGATGACCTTTCCTCTGGTTGTGCGTAAGCGCCCATTGACAAAGGGGGGGGGGTTGTACGTCCATACAAATGGCATTGAACAGCCCTTTCTGGGTTGAGCATGATACATAGGCCACATTCATTCACAAATTGGATTGTGAATCGCTCCACAGAAATGAACCAAATTCATGATAGAGAATGCAGTGATGGTGGGTACATGAACTTGGCGGTAACACCCTATAACCAGAGTGTGCAACATTGGTAATGGTGTTGGGTGCTGAATAAAAAAGTTGGCCCTTGGCAAGTGGTGCAGCCAGTGGAGCTGCACCTTTGGCCCAAGAAACGAGATTTTGATAGTTCTTAAATTTTGCGATCTTGGAAGTTACTGTACATGGAGTGACGCCCAGCATCATGAAACAGTATTCACCAGTTCGCAGTAGCTGATGCAGATCCGAGGGCTCGATCCCTAGTCCCCACCTCACCTGTGTACAGTATCTGTGTCGACCCTCAGAGTTGAACCCGTGACCTGTGTATTTGTAACGGTCGGTAGGTTGTTGTAGGGTCGTCCATAGGTAGCAGGGTTTTGATCTGTAGACCTGTCGAGTAGGAGTCCCAGCCAGGTCTAGCAGGCGCAGCTGTAGCTGTCTCGAAGGGTCAAGGTCGTAGCTGCTACAGTCCGGAAAGGTCAAGGTCGTAGCTGCTACAGTAATGAAAGGCCAAGTCTACGGCCTTCCGGAAGGTCCTAGTAGTGGCCTTTCGAAGATGCCCACGTTTAGGCTGAGGCAAGTGGGCAAGTGGTGGAAGCCCACCGTGCTGAGTCAACAGTCCCAGTCCCCAGTCAGTCCTTGTCCAATGTCCAGTCAAGCAAGTACCGCATGGGACTGTGTGCACTTCGGGCATGGGAAAGGGCCAGACCAACGAGCTGCAGAAGTATAAATCAAGAGGCAGCGCCCAGTCATTCATTCATTCCTGCGTGAGCCATGTAGAAGCGCTGCCACAAGCGACTTGTGCAAGGAGGTCTGCAGTGAGCCCAAGGACGAAGTGGGCGAGAAAGGAGTGTAGCCATAGCGATAGGGTAGTAGCGGTCATAGATGCCATAACTGTAGTAGAGTTCAGTGTGTGTGTGTGCATGTGTTCAGAGTATCGCGTGTGGGATATCCAGGGTGATCCTGTGTATGCGAACAGTGAGTTGTGTGGGCACTGAGTCGCCATAGCCATCGAAGTGAACTTGAATCTGAACTGTGTTCTCGGTTACCAGATCTCTGAGTTCTGAGTGGGCGCTTGTCGCCAGTTTGCTGCGCACCTGTTTGCCATGCGTGAGAAGTGTGAATGAGAGCGAGTCTGATTGCATTGGTATCGGAGCTGGTACCCGCTGTTCCATGCGCGTCGTTGTGTGTCGCAGGGAGAGTGATGCACCATAGCCGAAGTGGCTGACGAAGAAGGAGTTCGCCATAGCGGACATCGAGGTTGAAGAAGCCGTCGTGCGCACCTGCAGACAAGACCACGACGAAGAAGAAGACAGCGAGACAAAGAGAGAGAGACAAACAGAGAGAGAGAGAGAGAGAGAGAGAGAGAGAGAGAGAGAGAGAGAGAGAGAGAGAGAGAGAGAGAGAGAGA